TTTTTATTCTTAATTTTAGAATTCATCTTTTAATTTAATTTCTCATTGTGACAATTTTTTTTGTTGATTTAATATAGCTTCCCTGTGGATTCGACACCTAACGCTACGCTACAACAACCGCTTAGCCAAAGGGTATTAATTTTGAGGCGAGACATCATGCAATAAGAAGCAGAAGCACTGGAACAACTCCTAGTTGTAAAAAACCAATTTGGCTGCAAATTGAAAAATGGCCCCAGTTTAATGTACCTCATACTGGTGGATGCATCTCACCTGTTAAAGATCAAGTGGTTTCCGCCAGTTGCTTTCTTCAATTTCTTCAGCAAAAAGTTATTATGTCCTTCTACAATTGAAGCACAGCTTGAAAATTCAACTAAATGAATGGATCTTTTCATCTAATTCAACTGCCACTCTAAGGAAAACATCCAGTTATGTCTTCTATAAATTCAATGTTTTCAATTAATCACACAAAAATGCTGCAATTTTATAGTTGTCTTATATATCCACTCCAAGTTCTTAAGAAAGTTTGGGATTAACACCCTCAAACTAAAGGGCTGTGTGGTTGCCAAGCCATTAAACTTTTTTCTTTATGATGTTTCTTTCCACGTTTTTTTGAAAGGAAAAAGTTCTTTTCTAACTTCTTTTATGTATAACTTACTTGATAATTTTTTTTTATTAATTTTCACTATATTAATTTTTCATCAAGTATAAAAAAATTAATAATCTAACAAAATTTACTTATAAAACTTATCAATTTTCATATAATATTCTGTTAATAACTTTTTAGTAAAATTTTCTTAATAAAGTTGGCCCTCTCTATCCAAAGAGACCTAAATCCATTACCATGCAAGTGGGGTTAAGGATTTTGTAATGATCAATTACAAGATTAACCTTGAAAAAAATAAATAAACTACAAGAAGGCAAATATGCATAAACATTTCACAAATGTATAAGTAAATAAACATCTTCTTAGTCCATGCACGTGACATTGGCAAATAATAACAACATTAATAATCCATCAACGTTAGCATTAACAATAACCAAAATTAATAACATCACACACATCAATGCCATGCAGAGCACTAGGGAAACACTGGAATGCAACCATTTTGCAAAGACACAATCCATGTTCAAGTTCAACCATGTTCTCTACACCAATTATACACGCAAGATATAGCAATTAGAAAATAGTTAGGGAACAGCAAAGAATACTATGCTCATAAATGCCAAGGCCAATCTTAAAAGGATGACACAAATGACACAATATGCAAAAAACTGTATAAACTCTTATTTTATATTTTAAAGGTTAAATATTTTTTTTGGTCTTTCTACTATTGAAAAAATCTTTTTTTATCCTTGTATCAAAAAAATCTCATTTTTAATCCTTAAAGAGTGAAATTCGATCCCTTTTTGGTTCCTCCGTTAATTTTTTTGACAGGTGACAGTTAATTAACGGAATTATGTGATTTGAAAAATTCACTTTGTAAAAAAAAATGATGTGGGCATATTTTTAAGTCCATGTCAGCATCTTTACCCTTCTGACCTTTTTTTTTTTTTAACCTTGTTAGGTTCGTTGCGAACCCACCCAAGCGCACGCTAGGTTCGTGACGAGCGCACCCCCAAACCTAGGCACGAGTTGGGTTCATGATGAACCCAAGATGAACCCAGGCATGAGCTAGGTTCATTGCAAACCCAAGCGCGCACCTGGGTTCGTCCTAGGTTCTTGGGTTCTTTGCGAACCTAGCTCCCGCCTGGGTTCACGAAGTATTCAGCGCACACCTGGGTTCGTCCTAGGTTTGCTGGATTCTTTGCGAAATCAAGACAAATCCAGGTGCCAACTGGGTTTGTTGCAAATCCAAGCGCATGCTCGTTGCGAACCCACTGTGCACCTAGGTGGGTTCGCGATGAATCCAGCAAGGTTAAAAAAGAAAAGAGTCAAAAGGATGAAGATGCTAACGTGAATTCAAAAATATGTTCACTTTTATTTTTTTAACAAAGTGAATTTTTCACATTACATAATTTCATTAATTAACTGTTATTTGTCAAAAAATTTAACGAAGAAACTAAAAAGGAGTTGGATTTCAATCTTTAAAAACTAAAAAATGAATTTTTCCAGTACAAAGATAAAAAAAAAGTTTTTTTCAATAGTTAAGGGACCAAAAAAGAGTTTTTATCCTATTTTAAAAGCTTTAATTAGCTTAAGAAATACTAACAGAATTTTTTGTTGCACATCATTCAATTAGGACACAGGAACGCAAGAGTATATTAGTGGTGAAATTAATATTAATTTTTATATTTTAATTATTAATCAATGCAAACATTCTTAAATTATACTCTTAGAATATAAGTTAAAAAACTTTTAATATATAAGAGAAGAAAGTAAATTATATTTTAGCGAATTGAAGAAGTTTACTAATTCTGCTCTTGCGTTTAACCAATTCTCCTCTCTGCAAGAAAAAAAAATGTACTCAATTCTTCAGTAAAAATATGTATCATAAAACGAAAGCATAGACACAATTTTATTCTATCATTTACGTTAAAAATTTCACTGCTGGTCGATCAGATTCAAATGCCTCCATCCAATAATACTCGTCCCAAGCCTTATCCTGACTATTAGCTCAATCCTTATCCCAAGCTATCTTCCTGCAAGAGAAAAAATTGTACTCAATTTAACAATGGAAAAAATATCCTAAAAATAATAGCATACACCAAATTTTGTAACATTTACACCCAAATACTCGGTGGTTGATCAGTTTTAAAAATTTCTTATGCTTGCTTCCAATCCTCCTCCATCCTGCCAAAAAAAAAGATACAAGTACTCAGTTTAACAATAGAAAAAGTATAATAAATAAAAGCATACACGTGCAATTTACCGTACACGAAAGCGAACTAAACTGAGAATGGTTATGGGAAACCTAACTTTTGTTACTTTTGTCATAAAAAATTGTTAAATTTTTAATTTAATTTAGTTATTAAAAATAATTTATAATTAATAAAATAATTAATAATTAAATTTAATAAATTA